TAGTCAACCTCTTTTCTCTTTCCTTCCAGTTTTTCATGCATTAGAACCTTTTCCAGGGAAAACATATCTAAGTACAGTCCAGGAAAAACTGCATAGTTTTTCAAGAACAGCCCAGGTCACCTAAATGGTCCCTCCTAGCTGGTCACATTTTACTATTTTAAATCATGTTTATAAATGTATATAGCAATTTAACAAGGTTATGACAATACATTAAAGAAAAATGCATCTCCAATTTTGTAAATTTAAAAACTAATCAATTCTTCTTATTTTAGCATATAAATGAATAAGTGCAATATATTTTCACCATGGTCACAAGAACTATTTGGGGATAATTTTCAAAAGGTTGTCATTCAACACCCACCTTCTTTATTGCTGGCCAGATAAACAGCATATAATATGTATGTGCTAGTATCAGAATACAGATCTGATATTCACAGCAAATAATTGAAATTTATTTGAATATTTGAATTCACTTTATTCTTATAAGCATAATTTTATTCCATTTAGTTCCTATTTTCTAAAGTGTTTCTTTAGCATGGTATCAAAATAGGAAAAGGTATTATATTCATTGCTACAAATGAAATAATTATATTTCTATTTGTATCTTCTAGAGATCATCTGCATATTTAACCTTTGTGTTTTGCTGAATTATGCTAAAGTATATAAAAATGCATTTATTGTCCACAGTGGCCTATTCATATGAAAGAAAAGCCACTGAAATGGGATCAGCAAAATCCCAGTTGCATGAAGTATAATTGCTTGCATGTAAATCAGTGATAAGCAAAACTAATAAGCACAGAAATTAATGTAATTTGAGATTATTGAGGTGAAATATATTATCTAAATATTTATTGGAATGTCAGAACAGTTATTAAAATAACCAAGCAAGTATTGCAATCATTCAAATCATTGACGCTTTGACACAATTCAACCAATTAAGTATTTTTACATCTCATTGATTCCAGTGAAGACTTCAAAATATACTTAATAGCATATTGCCATGCATACCTAAAATAAGCGAATTAAGCTAAATTCCTGTGACTTCATTGACATACAAATATACAGTGGATATAGAAAGTCTATATACACCCTTGTTAAAATGCCAGGTTTTTGAGATGTAAAAGAAAACCAGATGAAAATAAATCACTTCAGGAAAACAAAATAGAGTTTAATCTCTGAACACAAAGCTACATACAGGTCATGAATTATTGGCATAGCAGATGACAAATATATATGTATATGACTTAATTTTTGTTTGTAATAATATACCCTAGTTATATTTTTTTAGATTAGACCAGACATGTCAAAGTCACGTGACGTCACGCAACATATCGGGACGGTTTTGCCATTGCCTGCAATGGGGTCGGTGCGGCTTCCGGATGACGCGTCTGGCCCACGAGCCGGCAGTTTGACACCCCTGGATTAGACTATTTGAGACTTCTCTTGAGAAAGCCTATTCTTGGTTAGACAACTGAGTTACTGCTGAGCTCTGGTCTGAAATTAGTACATACAGCTTCTTTAAGGTGTTGCTAATAAACAAGATTTGCATCCTCATATATGCTGTTTTGAACTCGAATTGCTGCTCAGTCCTAAACCCTTCAGTTTTGCCCCATTTTGGCCAGTGTCCCTCAAGCAGAATTATACATTTACTCCACATATACTCATACTATTCTATCTAGGGGAAAAGATATTTTGGAAGCTAATATCCCACCTATGAGGTATATGCAGTGTTCTGACACACTTGGTATAAATTCAAATATCGGCAATAAGCCAGGCGTCCTAATCATGCAAAACAAGATGTGAATAGACTCTCTCAATAAGCCATTCACTGGCACTTGATTTCACTTTCCACTAGGAAATAGTTGAAAGAACTGTGAATTAATCATCTTCCCATTAGAAACCTGGAAGGCATTTGCACAATGCTTATGCAGTATTCTCTAGATACCAGTATTAAAATTACTCTTCAGGAAAATTGTTTAGGTTAACATGTAGTAACCTTTTGCTGGAGGGAAGTAATTTAAAGATTGGACTCAAAAGGCTAAATAGTGTTTTTTCCCTATGATTATTTTCAGAATTTGCTAATATTGACCTTTGTATTGTCAAACTGAAAAGCCATAGTTTTTTGCTGGTTCTTGCAAATTTTCACTTCTTTATCCATAATTAAATAAAAATGATATCAAAATAGCCGATAGCGAGTTAGCTATATTTAATATAGTACTATCATCAATCTCATACTGAATGTTTGTAAATTTAATCACATGCCAGCCAGTTTTAGTGATTCCATATTCATATCTGAATGAATAGTGAATATTGTGCAAATTTTACAGGATTCATAGGACAAAGATTTAGGATTCTGTCATTAACACACACAAATGTAAATGTTCCACAACCAAATATATTTATAAGGATATCTAACAGTAAGAAAAAATACATTTGGTTGGCTGAGAATTACAGATCAAAGACATTAATGAGAAGAGACATTCAAAATAAATAGGTAGGGTGTAGAGTTATACCAACAAAACACTGGGAATGAATTTTTGATTGTGAGATAACATAAACACAATAAATCAAATCTTTGTCCTAGCAAGACAGAAAAATAAGGACTGAATTATTAGCTACCCTTTATACTAGCCAAGAAACTGGAAGTTTAAACTTGCAATAATTTCTAAGGAGGAACCTGGAGAAAAAAAAGGTATATTGCAAAGTGCAGAATACTGTGAAAATACAATGATCCTAAAGACCCAGTGCTCTTATGTTAATGCCTCCTAAAGTACATGTTGGTTTCAATAGCAAACAATAAAATTTTAAGTACCGCAAATATAATTCCTTCAAAACGAATAGTGTTGGGGCTTATAATTTGAAATGAACTATAAGAATTCAAGCCAACTGGTACACTCTTTTAAACACATTTATTTGGTATTATGTCGCGTTTAAATAACTGAAATGTTTCCAAAGCACACTGAGGACTGTGATACAAATCAATATGAATTCAGAATAATTTAAACTGTGAGTCATATTAAATAACCTTTTTGTGTATGTGCCTTTGAGTCAGTGTTGATTCCCAATGATTCACTCGACTAGCCCCTGCAGTTTTCTTGGCAAGATTTCAGAAGTAGTATGCCATTGCCTCCCTTCCAGGGCTGAGAGGGAGAGACTGGCCCAAGTCTCCTACATGGCTTCATGACTAAAGCAGGATTAGAACTCACAGACACCTGATTTCTAGCCTGATGCCTTAACCACTACATAAAATTGGTTCTATTAGACAACTTGCCTCTTCTTTTGTTTGCATTTTACTGAAATAAAGTTATAGAGGGCTGGGAATTTCACATTAAAATACAGATCTTATTTTTTCTCATTCAATTAAAATGCAATTAGGAAATGTTTTCCTTTTTCTTTTTCGTAATTACAATCTATAGGAAAGTAAGACTAATCTAATTTGGATTTAAGTTAATTAATACAAGAACTTCTTATATCAATTCATTTGTATTAATTAAAGTAATAAAATGAAGTTCATACTTATACACTGCATAAAGACACTGATAAAATCAAGTACATAGATTTAGAGCTGATAACAGAGCAGATTCCACAAACATAGGGTATTCAGGTTTTGTTCTTGAAGTAACTGAAAACAGAACAAATTGTTTTTCAAGTTGCTATAATACTAACATTATTATTAACTAATGATCTAATTCCATTATTTGATGGACTAATATGCAAAATAAATCAATAGCAAAATAACATGTAATATAGATTTTTTTTAGTTTAGCAACAAGCTAACCAGCATAACAATTCACGTTTCCACATACTTTTCCATTTTTTTCTGATCCTCATTAACCAAGAGTTAGTCAGAATTCTATTCAGTTCTCATTGTTTAGTTGTTCTCACTAATTTAACTCTTTGAACTACTATGTGTATTTCGGTAAATCTTAAAATTACAGTTATATATCCCAAAACCGTATTTTTGTCCGCATGTTATAATTTCGACTACACAAATATGGTCAGTGCTTTTTTTGTAAAAAAAAAAGAAAAGAAAAAGGTGCCGGAACTCACACATCAAACAACCCGCCTTGCCTACCCTACAAGGTTTTATCCAAAAAAGGTGCCGGAACTCCGTTCTGGGCGTTCTATGACAAAAAAAGCCCTGAATATGGTACTTAAAAATGAATTCATTATTAATATGTAGAATGAGTGGTGTTGAGGGAAATTGGTCAAGGAGAAGAAAAATAGATGCCTAGTATGCAAAACTTGAAATTGGGATGCTGAAGAGATTCCAAGGTGACTCAAAAAGGAATTGGCATTCAGTTTACTATGTAAGAAAGGCAATACCACATGAGATGTTTCAACTTGCACAGAATTGAGATCTAAAGATACACAAAAGAACATACTGGTTTTCTAACTGGGAGAGGTGGCCAGCTATATTTTAATTGGAGATTTGATTAAGCCTTTCTAGAAGTTAATAGCAATTAAATTTTGGTATAAAATAGGCATCCATTGATTTTAAAACAGCAGTTGCTAATGCCAGAAGGGAGGTAGTTAATCTAGCTATGGTAGAGCAATTAGAGTAGACCATGAAGAAACTGACTACATTCCGACCTTCTTTGAAGGCCGATATCAAAGTGAGGCAAAGGCAGAGGACTGTAGGTATGTTTGTATGCATTAGCTGAGATCCACTTGTGAGTTACAAGTGGAAAAGTCAAAGTTTGAATGAAAATGATCTCTTTCTATCCTTGTTATTCTAAGACTAGAGGAAGAAGTTGATATATTTTGCAATATGACCATTGTATGTTGTATTTTGTCTAATCAATCCAGAGAACTCTCAACATATATGTCCTGAATTCCATGGAAGCCTCCCATTTCCTGTGCAGTAGTACCATATCAAATCATTGGCTATAAGCTCTTATTAATCTGCTGGGCCCTAGTAAATGTAGTTACAATTTCATGAATACAGTTTTTGCTCTGAAAGGTCATGATTGTCCACCAAAACCTTAGATAAAATGATAGTTTAACCAGTGGTTTAATTAAGATGGCTACTACTTTTAATATAAAAATATATTTGCATAAGGTTAAATTATTTTAACCCTTTTTTACTTAAACTTACATTGGATCTGTAATACAAAACATTTTATACTGTGAAATATCACTTTGTTTGCAGTAAAAAAACATTTTTTCTTCACATTTGGTTCTGAAGCACATCTTTTGTTCTGATGATAATATAGAAGTACATCTTTCTAGTAGCTGCTTAGAAAGGCATTTGTCTAAGGAGATGAGGTTCAAATAGCTCTTTCTGTTCATTTTGAGAAGTTTTCAAGGCTGAATGGCTGTATGGCAAAGTGTTATAAAAGAGTACTTTAAGAATAAAATATTTTAGTTACAATAATAACTTTTATAGATTTCCACTAACATGACAAAATGTTTTTGTTAATTTCTGTGTGCATTGGAAAATACTCAACGTGGCATATTAAATTGTGGGGGGGAAATTAAGGTTACCATCCTATCATTTTCATATGTTTATCCCCAGACCTTCAAAGAGTTAAAGGAGTTCTCTCTTTGAGTAAGAGCCAAGTAGATATTCTCTTTTGCATACTTTGGATCAAACTGTCAGAACTGATTTCCCAGTTAAAAAAAAGAAAAGAAATAAATTTCATCTAGTTATGCCTTAAATAATACAAAATGTATTTATAAATTAGAATTTTATTATATAATTATTAACTAAAAAGTTTCAAAAATATACTATAGTGTAGTCCTCAGGTTATGATGGTAATTGAGGGCAATGTCACATGACTACATTGCTCAGTATCAGCAATTCCGGTATTCCTTGTTGCTGTCATTAAGCAAGGATTACATGTGTCTTTTAAGTGAAGTCACATTACTATGACTTCCAACTTCTTGCTGGTGTCCCATTGACTTTGCTCATGGGAAACTAGCTGGGAATATTGGAAATTGCCATCACATGATCATAGCTCACAGTAATGTCATAATCATGAAATGAAGCCCGAATCATGATCACATGACTATCAGAATGCTGTGACGGCTGGAACTACAAAGACTCATTGTAAGTACCAATTGTTTAGTACCATGGTAATTTTTTAATGGATACTGAACAAATGGTTGTAACCTGAGTATTAAATGAAAAAATGAACACCACTGCAATATATAGGAAGGTGAAATATATAGCTTCTTCTACACTGTAGTAATATACAGAGCTTCTTTTTTGATATTTTTAAGAGAAATTCTTATTTCTAAACTTGTTCTATTTCTCTCTCTCTCTCTCTCTCTCTCTCTCTCTCTCTCTCTCACACACACACACACACACACACACACACACACACACACTAACCATTTTGCAAAACTTTGAGTAAAACATTACAGCAGCTGCATTCTTTGAAAGGCTAGCAAGTGTTTTAAAACCTAATTCACTATAATTGCCCATCGCTCCATAGGTGATTCCAACAGAAATGCTCCTTACAGTTATGTATACACCCACATTCAGGTGGATAAACAGGAGTTTTCAAAGCAGCTGAGTGAGCTGGCCAAAGCTTCTGCCTGCACATGCTGACCCTTTGCAAAGCAACTCTTTTGAATGCTTTCCACACAAGTACATTAACATATACACATATATGAAGTGTGCACTGTTTTTAATATTTGTGTTTTGTTTTAAACACAACAATTTTCAATTTCAAATATGTGTCTAATTCCACTACAGTAGTTATTTAACACAATGACATTGACTTGACGTTGGATTCCAGTGATATTTTACATAAATCATACCTGATTTTTTCACTATTTCTGTTTTCTTCATATACTGGCTGAAATTCTTTATTATAAGGAGTTCTGTGTATCTCTCTGGAGACTGGGAAGTGGTAAATAGGAAAATGTGCATGTTCTGCATCATTGTCATCTAGAGAATGTAAAGATACAAAATCATATAGTATTCAACACAAAATAATTAACACAGGGGCACATTCAAATCTTAGTAAATTGCAGCAACTAACTTTATACATTTATAGCTGGTATATAAGAAGTACATGTTTTATAAATGTTCTATTATAAAAGTTACTGATCTGCGTATTTTATATCACAAGGTTCCTGAGAATATTACTCCAGCAGTATAATCAATAAAAATGGAAGAAACAGAAAAAATACTGGAAAAAGACCTTTGTTATTGATTTTATCAATTAAATTATCAAAACTGAGATGAACTTGTAAATCAGAAAAAAAAACATTTAAAAGTGTTCATGCAATAACTGAATTTATGACTCACCAGCAATGAAATTATTTAAAAGCATGCAACCATACTCCATACACTTTTATAATACTATATTCATTTCAAAACATTTTAATGAAGGCTCTTTGCTATTCATTCATTCTTTATATTATTGTTATAGTATTGGGAAATAATGTTTTTATTCTTCATTAAAACACTCATTGTCTTGTTATGACAAATTTATCGGAGATGATTCTTCTCTTAATATTTGTCAAAGTAATAATTTAATAGCTAAACAGCTTATGTAATGTAGCATAAGCTGGATGATGCAATAATAGGAATGACTCAGCAGGTGTCTGCATCCCTTTAAGAACCTGAGTATAAAAGGGAAGGCTTTGCTAGTCTCTCTCTCTCGTCCGTTTCCTGTTGTAACTGCTGTATGTTGGAGTTTGCTGTATTACCACGCATATTTTGTTCCTAGTGTATATTGTAGATAGTGTATGATAAACTACCATTTTATACAAACAACTGTTTACTGTATTTACTTCTGGGTTATCTCAGCGCAATAAGACTGTGCATGCTCTGACAGGTTATGGGCCCAGAGTGAAGAGAAACCCAGTGAGAGTTTGACCCAGAGCCAGAGGAGTTGAGGCTTGTGTTTTGTGGTGGTTTAACATGGCTTTCATCAGCGTAATGGGAGGAGGTTTCGTAATATCTCATCTGAATGAGACAAACAATCTCTCCTGGAGTCTGAAAATGGAGATGTACCTGAGAAGGGAGGAGTTATGGATGATAGTTGCTGATCCACCTGCAGCCCTGGATGAGGGGGACCAGAGAAAGAATGAGAAAGCTTTGGCCAGCATAATTCTGAGTTTGGAGGATAGCCAGCTGATACACGTGAAGGGTCTCCAGTCTGCTAAAGAGTGCTGGAAAGCTTTGTGCAGTGTGTATGTGAGAGAGACTGTGAGCAGCAAAGTAATGCTGACAAAGTTATATAAAGCACAACTGAAATGGGGAGAAGGCATGTCTACGCATTTGCAGTCCATGAGACATTCCTAGAATTAGAGGAAAGAGGGATGATGCTCACTGAGTCACATAAGGTGTATGTGGTGCTCAGTTCATTGGACAATTCATGGGATGTCCTAGTGACCTGTTTAGTGTCCATGCAGGAGAAGGACTCAACCATGAGTTATTTGACTGGCTGGTTGCTGGAGGAGGAACAGAAACGTCTGGAAAAGCAGCAGAGAGGGAGTGATGACAATGCACAGCCCAAGCTTAAAACTGCTATGTCCCAGGGTGCCAGCAGAGTAGCTGAGAAAGTTTGTATGGTGAAACGCTGCTCCAGGTATGGTTCTACAGAACATCTCCAGAGACACTGCCCTGAGAGGAGAAACAGAGGAGCAGTGAGACAAGATCGTAGAACTACACAACCAACATTTTCCTTGGCAGCAACATTAACCGAGAAAAACACTTGGTTGTTGGACAGTGGGATGAGTCAGCATATTGCAAATGACCCATAAATGTTTTCTAACCTGAGGCCAGCTAAACAGACATTTATTAGCTTGGTAAATGGATAACAGTCTGTTATTAAAGTGGAAGGTAAAGTTTATGTAACTGGTATAGGAGATTTGGATGTCTTATATGTGCCATCCATTTCCTGCTGTAACTGCTCTGTGTTGGAGTTTGCTGTATTACCACATGTATGTATTTTGTTCCTAGTGTATATTGTATATTGTGTATGATAAATCACCATTTAATACAAACCACTGTTTACTGTATTTACTCCTGGGTTATCTCAGCACAATAAGACTGTGCATGCTCTGACAATATTGATGCTGTGATTAAGAAGATATAGTTTGTTTTACCAAAATGTGAATATGATGAATGCTCATTAATGAAGCTTTCTACTTTGTTTTTCTTCCTGGCATCTCTGGAGGCTTTCCAATTTGTCAGGAACTGTCTTTCCATTTCTTTTATTTCTTTTCCATCCAGCAATTCTGAGGAAATGTTGTAATGTGTAAATCAACAAACAGCTTTATATTCTTAGGAAGGCAAAAGAGCATTTTTTGTTGCCAAAGATATTGCTAATTTTCTATCATCAATTTTATTATACTTGAAAAACCACCAAATGGTTCACCACTGGGCTTTAATTTTACTGTACTAGTAGGTATGAGCTGGACAGCTGATGGATAACTTGTTATAGCATAATAGTGAAAAGGATAGACCTTAAAACTGTCAAACAATTGCCACAGTAATAAAAAGACAGAGAAGCAAAACAATCTTTCTGCTGCTCACTTGGACTGATATCTATAATTATTGTGCATGGTCAATGAAATGAATGGGGTCTATACACAAAGACTCTAACAATAACTTTTATATAATTTTAGTTATATAACCCAATTGTTCAATAATATAGCATTAATGGAAAGAAAGATGACCCTGAATTTAAGTTACTTCCCCACAAAGAAAGATATTAAAATAATTAAATGCAGACAAAAATCTTGATAGGGATAAGTAATTGTCAGCCTAGAATTATCAACTCTAACTTAAGTTCTGAAGATTTTCCCCAATACACACGCACCATAAATGTAAGTAATATGCTTGCATACACATAGGCAACATCTCTTTCTGACTGTCTCTCTGTATATATGTATGTATGTATGTTACGAGTTTGCCAGAAACCACACTCCAAAGGAAAAGCCATGACAAAAAGTATATTATATATTGAATTAATCCAGGTAATCTCCATTTAGGATTAGAGAGCCAAAAATCTCAGTTGATCAGCAAAGCAGTTATTAAACAAGATGCCATGTGACCGATTCACTCAATGACCGCAGTCATGGCTCCCCTAATTTATTTATTTATTTATAAGATTTATATGGCTGTCCACTCACCCTCAGTGATTCTGGGCAGCTTACAAACAATAACCCAATATAAAAAGAATAAAACAATAATCTCCCACCCATCCCCGGTGACAACAAGCAATCAAAACAGCCACTTGATGGGCTCCATCACCCTGGGTTCCTCAGGCTCATTGGCAGAACCAGGGCCCTGAGAAAGAGTGTCAAAGTGGGGGCCAGTCTAATCTCTGTGAGAATGATGTTCCAAAGAGAGGGAGCACCACAGAGAAGGTCCTTCTTCTTGGTCCTGCCAAATGTACCTCCTTAGGCAACGGGACCCGCAATATTCCCTGCCTCCCTGCTCTAGTGGGTTAGGTGGATGTAACTGGTAAGAGACAATCCTTCAGATAACTTAGTCCCAACCCAAGAAGAGCTGTAAAAATGACAACCAGCACTTTGAATTGCACCTGGAAGCAAATCAGTAACCAGTGCAGCTCCCCAGGAGGTGACATATCTGCACTCCTAGGTCTGCACAAACCATGCAACCTGCTGCATTTTGAACAAATTGGAGCTTCTGAATGCTTTTCAAGGGCAGCCCCATCTAGAGTGCATTGCAATAGTCAAGATGGGAGGTGACTGCATTCGTTAAGCGACTATGTGGGTTGTTAAGCGGAGTGCCATGGAGAGAACTTGGGCCTTTTGGGTGTGATGGGGCAGAGAAAGGGCCTAGGCCCTCTAACCATGTTACCAAATAGAATGATCATGGGAACAATGGCGTTTGCCAGCGTTTTCACCAGACTTGAAGTCTGTTCTTCTAGCACATCGAGAGATTTCTAGAAGGTTCAGAATGTTGGAGCAATTATATTAGGAACATTCAGCACTGAGGAATATCATTATTTGATTTATATCCTGCCTTTTTTCAGGAGTTCAGGCAGCAGACATAGCATCCCTCCTACTCCTGCTACAACTACCCCCCTATGATACAGATTGGGTTGAGAGGAAGTAAATGGCTCAAAATCATCCAGCAAGCTTCTCAGGCTGACCACCACACTTGACCAGATACAGATACAGTACATCAAACGTAGAAAGCATAGAAGATTTGGGGCATAGGAATATAATAAGGAACTATTACTAAGAATTTTATTAGATCCTATATCTGAAGGAATATTTCAAACTGTCTCAATGATGCTTGTCCAACTTTAATGACCAGAACATACTGGAAATTGTTGAAGCTCTCAAGAAATGCCTTTTTCTGTTAACTTGTCCAAGACTTAGAAGAGCCTTCTGAGAGAATTTTGTCTCATATTCAGTGGAAAATTTTAGGCACAAAAGTTGAGTAGTGTAATATACAAAAAAAGATGTTACTGATGTCTGTGATAACATTTTATTACTGCTCTGTTAGTTTTATGATTATTTTAATTCTGGTTTGGTCCAGAGCTGCACACAACAGGAAGGAGGAAGGAGAACTGGAGAGACAAGCTTGATTAATTCTTTCTTATTAAAGATCCCTAAATCTGATTTTGGAAGGATATTCTAAAACTGACTCTGTTTTGATCCTGATCCCAACTGTAAAGAGGTGTTTCATTCTATGGAAGTTCAAATTGATTGGCTCCCCTCATTTTAAGGTACAGTGGTTTTATCAAAGTGCAAGATATACCATAATATACATCTTTCAGTTAACTTTAAAAACATGTCTGATAATTGGATAGATGTATAATTTGTACATCAGCTAATAAGCATGAAATAGGATAAAATTGCTTGTTTTTGTAATTTGGATGGCCTCAGAATTGACAAGAAGCAGAGCTGAATGCAAGTGGGGTTAGATGGCTTCAACTGTGGGCAGCAAATTCACAGGAAAACAGTGGAATTTAACACTTGGGTAATGACCTTAAATCCCAGGTTGTAGCTTATGCATCTATGGCTTAATAAATCAATACATATGAAATGAAAGAACAATCTCTGCAATTTAAATATTTTACCAAGACATTTTGACTGCAGTATTACTTTATCTCGGTATTTTGGCTTATGACAAACAGGATTCCCATTCAGCTCCATTTTGTACAACTTAGTCCATATACTCAGAACAAATTCCAAGTCCTGGAAATAACGAAGAAAAACATCACTTATCTAGTCCAAATATTGCAACTAAATTGATAAATCTTTCTTTGATTAGTTGTAACATGTCCCGTTTATTTCAACTGATGTTATTACATTTAATAACACAATCAAATATCCATGTATTAAAAATACATTTTACCCACAATATTCAGAAATGATATTTTGATAGTTATCTTACTTCTTTATTCATAATTGTAGTCTATTTTTGTGTTTTCACTATCTCATGAAAGTTTAAATATAAACGTAAACCAGAAAAAACACAAACATTAACTGCACTGTTCTCTGGTCTCCTAAGTTTTGCAAAAATATGTTTGTAAATACTGGAAGTTAACAGCCTTTAATATAGCATAATTATTCGGACCTTTTGGCTCTAAATACAAATTGTTATTAAATTAAGCTAAACAAATTCAAGAAAAAACATCTGTGGGATATTTTTTTATATCACTAATTGTAATAATGCCATGTATGATAGAAACCACAACATGTATGGAACTATGGAAACTATGGAAACATTGTTACATACAGGAAACTAATGTTTGGGAAGCAATTTCTCTTCCTTTTCCTTAAAATAGTACATTTTCTAATATTTTATCAGTATATTTTTGTTTGGATTTTGAAAGAAACAGAAAGGTAGAAGATTACTCTCTTAATCTCTGTTGCTCCCTGTAGACCTCCAGTTGCTTTATTTTAACTGCATGCCACTGGCACTCAGAATCTAAACGATTGTGTATAATCATCACATTTGTCTTCCTACAAGTTTTAAAAATATGCTTCAGTCACAAATCTATCTATTTGTTTGTCTGTCTGTCTGTCTGTCTGTCCGTCTGTCCGTCCGTCGTCCTTCCATCTATCTCCATATATCCATTTGATAACCCATCTCTCCTCTAAGAGCACAGGCAACCAGACATAATACACCCTCCTTCAATTTCTACTCCAAACATCCCTGTGAAATAATTTGGGCATGAAGTGATTGGCCCAAGTAAGCCAATAGTTTTTTTATGTTTGGGGTATATTTGAACCTGGATCTTTCTAATATCTTAGTCACATATTATGCTCTGTCTGTCCAGATATTTGATATAAAAGTTATCAACTATTTGGCAAAGCTGATGAGGGAAAACTGAATTCTCTTTTCTTTCTGTGTCAAAAACTGAATAATATAATTTAAATTTAAATGCATCATTAAAAAGAATTATGCAACACTTGTTTGTATATTATCCCCAATGTAGCTGCACATAGATAGGTAAATTCATATAGTGTCTGAAATGCGCAAACTCATATGAATGTACATAATTTATTCTGAAATAATTTCTATATTGTATTTTTTTCCTAAATTCATCTATTTATGAAACCTGCAAAGTTCAAGGAAGTATTATAAATAAAAGTTAATGTTCAAAAGAATAAAACTTGATATTCATTGACTTGCAATAGGAAGAAGCCAAAAATGAAAACTCAAAAGTTCATTATAGGAGGCATTCCATAATCTATTATAGAATTAACTTTCCCCAAAAGAATAAAGTCTCCTTTGAGTTTGACTCCTGATAATAGCTATTTTTGTCAATAAAAATGTTAATTAATAGTAATAAACATTATTATAACTAATATTTATAACATTAGACAGACTACATATTTTTCCTGCATATCTGTTTCAAATTTTGTTTGAGCAATTTAGCTTTTAATGTCTAAAAATGAAGAAAAGTTTATAAACATGCAAATACTGCCTTTGCTCACAATCATCCTTCTTTTTCTATTTGTACAAATTTAGCTAAGCCTATGAGATAGAGCCTTTGTTAAAATGCATAAGAGTATCATCCTCACCTTGTATATTTGATTTTAAAATGTACTTTAAAAATTAATTCAATTAAAGATTATTTTGAAAATTCAAAATAGTATATTTTCTTGGAATTCTGAAAACCATTTAATTTTGAAGAATGCATAGAATTTTTAGATTTTTATTACCGTAAGCTTGGTTAATAAATTATTCAGAACATGTTTATTCTAGTTTATCTAAGAATACACTTATTCCATGCTGAAATAGATATTCCCTACTTGTTCAACTGCCTTCCTGTCTCTAATAAACTGCTTTCACTTTACATTCTTTCAATAAGCTATACTAAAGGGACTAGATAATTTTTGGGGCAGTCTCTATCTGATAAATGATAAATGATCATGTCATCTTATCACTTAGAGATCTGCTACAAAATACTAAAAAACAAATTGTATTCTAGGCTCATGATGGGGGTGGGGTGGGTGTAAAAGCCTCAGATGTCATTCATAGCACAAACTATAGCCTTCTTCCCAATTAGTGATAGTCATTTAAAAACCTGCATTTGACCAGTGCACTCCAATTTTTATGGGCTATGTCTAGCTCAAATAGCTTAACTACATCTGCAGATAGCAATTTGTCATCATTCTGACGGTCTGTCATTATCTCTTTCAGAAAATCTATATATTTTTTCTTGTACCTGACTGAATTGTGAAGTGAAGGAATCCATCTTTTTGATATCTAGTGTCATAATCAATAATGGCAAAGGTTGAATGCATTCAATATTTACAACCAAATCTTCAAAATACCAAATCCTTCTGAAATAAATAGGACTTATATTGCTGAATATATTTTAAGATAATCTGGACTTATGAGATGTAGATAGACAACTTCCTAATACCTAGGACATGACATTGTTTTCATCCTATCCTCTGGGATCATGATGTAATAAGAAGCACCATACGTTACATCATAGTGAATGGAATTAAGAGAAAATTAAAAAATAAAGAAATGGAATCTTCTCCAAGCATTGCAAAAGTGTCACTTCTTTAAAAATTCAATTCTTTAAACATCACCATCCATCCTCCAAATTGTACTATTTGACTTAACAGTAGAAGTAGACTTTGCTACTGAGATTTTAGCAACAAATTGAAATTCTGAAATTTGTGATAATAAGAAGCTAAGTGCATTATTTAAATTAATCTAATTATACAGGCATCTTTTAATCCATGAGGTAATATATGAAATAGATTTTTACAATATTTACAGAGTCATCTTATATTTACAATGTTCTATTGTCTACGTGTGATGGGTTTTTCCCAATTTTCTGTTACAAATCTCTATAATCCAAATGTATTAAAATGTTGGATTTATCACCAACAATTTTGTTAATTTCATTTATCATAAAATTGTCTAATGCTCATAAATTTGAAAATAAAAAGTGCACAATTAAAAGACACCATGATTCAAGAGGTGATGGACAAAAAATTGGCAAATTATTGAAATAATACTTAGTTCCATTTTTAGAATTTATCAGTTTGCATTGCTTTTATTACCTTTATGTGATGAAGTTGGTTGTCAACAGCTATAAGATGGGAGATATTTTCCAGAATGGATAAGTCACTTAATTCATCAATATTATTATTGCTGATATTCAAAACTGATAAAGATTTCTGTAATGAACCAAAACATATACTTATTCCAAATATAAAATAATATTTAAGTGCAGCAATTGTATGGACTTTAAAACCTGACTGTACCTGACTGAAATGTAAAGTTTTCTTAAATGTACAAAACCTTAAATAGTACCACAACAAAAATACCTCTAATTTTGTTTTGAAACAATCTTGAAACTCATAGTTAATAATTTGGTAAAAATGGAGTAAATAACTATTAAAAGGTCTATTAAAATCCATACAATTCAATACATAATCCTCTTCTAACTGTTTTATGTAACCTATTTTGATGTGCACAGTAAGGGAAAGATGATGTGCACAGTAAGGGAAAGAAGGTGCTATCTTTCAATTCTTAGAAAGAAGTTAGATAAAGAAATATGATATATATATACTCTTTGGCTTTGGCTCAATTATTTAAACTTTATAAAAAAATACCAGTAATACAAAATAAATCTTCCAATTATCAGTATGCTGCTTGAAAAGTAAGAAATAGCAATATGTCTTTTTCCCAATAAATACTGACTGTTCTGCTGATAAATCTCCAAAGAAAATTAAGACTCAAAAAATAATGGCATCCATAGATCTACCTGTAGATACTTTGAAATTTTGTTTCCTTAAGAAAGGTAAATCCTTAAATCTTAAGGAAATCTTACCTTTCCTTAAGAAAGGTAAAATCAGACAAACTGATTTTGGAAAAAAAAGTACGTATTGTGGAGCTTATGTTATGGTATTAGAGGAGAATTCTTCTTAGATATTGCACAGAAAATATGGGGTATGGATCAAAAAAAGTTTGTTAAATCTAAAGCAGTATTTTTTTTACAATGTGGACATAAATTCTCCAGGTTTTATAATCTATATGTCTACATTAGCTAATTGTTCATAAGCACAACAGTAGTAATAAAATGAAACCATTAAAAAAATTCTCTCAGTTTACAATACTTATAAAGCATTGTAATTTTCAGTTTGATTGGGTTAAATCATATCAGTCACAGGCAGGTACAATACTGGAAATAAAAGCAATAAAATACAAGTAAATGAATATTGATGGGAGAGGATAAAAGCTATAGTTAAGGCAAGTTAAAATTATTTAAGATAATTACCTTTTAAATGCATATGCTAGAAGTATGATGTTCATAAAGTTGCACTCATGTAACAAAATGCTAAAAATGTTACCATATTCTGCATTATTTTCATAATAATTTCTTCTGAATAGATAAAGCAAGGCTTTATTATTGAAACTGAGTAATAATCATAGTATATGTTTGCCAGATTGCTTTAAGCAAAATAATTTTAGAATTTACTATTATTAATATGTTTTAAAAATATTTTAAATAAAATAAATGACACATTAACCTGATTTACATAGTATGAGGATAAGTATACAACAGAAGACTTTAGCAGTTTTTAACAATTAATGTCTGTCACCAAATAACTTTCGGGTGTTCTTACGGATAATGAATGAAGACTTCTTGGATCAAACAAGAGTTTTTCTCCTAAGGGAAGCTGCTGGCTTTCAACATGCAATTCTCTCAGTTCCTCTAAAGTTTCCAATCCTTCCACTACAGTGATACAGTTGCCACCCAAATATCTGGAAATAGAACAAAATAGAAAGGTCTTTTATTTTACAATTTCTTTTAAAACTGCATAGAAAATAAAATAATTATTTTACTGAATAATTTCACTATTTCAGAAGTAAAATCAATAAAACATAACATATTGCACCAATAATCAAATAAAAATTAATTAATTGCTATGGGAAAAATGTGATTATATATGTTCAAGTTTACCAAGCTTGGGTTCTTGAATGCAGAGTTTATGTGAAGCTTGTGCAATATAGCATCGCATATAAAATATATATTCATTCCATTTTATTAGTCTAAAAGTTACGATTATTACACACAAATCAATAAAAATAGAAACAATTTTTCACTTACAATTTTTCAAGTCTTATCAAAGATTCTAGATTTTCAATTCGTGTAATGCAGTTGTTCTGCAGGTACAGATGTCTTAGGTTTGTCGCAAAGTCCAAGTTATGTATCTGTCTAATATTATTATCATATAAATATAGGACATTAAGATTTTTACACAAAGAAAGATCATCCTACAAGAAAAAAATTGAAATATGTTTGTTGGTAAAATTTATTGATGAGCAACAGCTTCAGCAAGATTTCAAAAGTCCTAAAATTATGTTAAACCTGCAATTTTAAGTACAGTCATAAGTACATGAATACGGTTGAATAAGCCTGAGATGCAGGATAAAGATTCCACATAACCTAATGATGCATTAAATATATGATCCTTGTATACTTTTGTATACAATAAATTATTCTAAGCATGTATGCTGGTTCATTTGAAAGAAAAAGAAATCTAACTCAATGTGCCAAACTGTTATTCATGCTGAAATTGTTTTATATTTGTACAAGATCCCATTTCTAGAAAACATTAACTTAACAACACTGAACATTACTATATTATAAAACTGTCTGTCCAAAACTATTTTTCTGCAAATAATTAAATAACAACTCATCAATAAAAGACAAATCAAATATTTATTATTTAAACTAATTAAGGCAATGGCATGAAATAGAATCAGAAATTTATTTCCAACTAGAAACTTATATTAAAACAAAATATTAAATATCATTTAATACTGGATAAATCTTAAATATAAAAGCTATCTTTTTACATAATGAAAAATTTCTTACAATGACATCTATATTTTTATTAGATAATTTCAGATGTGTTAGCTTCCTCAGATGTTGGGCCAAAGATTCATCTCTGCGATTCTTTTGATTAAGGCTTCTAGCAATAAGCTCCAACGTTAATCGTACCATAATTTTGTGATAAAGTCAGTTTTCCACTACCTTAAAATAGAAATAAATAGTTGTAAAATATGCTGCCACATCATTATCATATATTATCTACAACATGTACTATTAAAAACATGTTTTAACTATAGTAAATTTCCTTTACACTATCTTAGCCATTTTCTGCATAAATCAAATATGCATTCTAGTGAACTTATTGATTTTCATTACATTTTTTATGTACTTGATAGCAGCAATTCTGATTTATATTTTTGCTACCCTTCTAATGGGTCTATCAATGGCTATTACTATATGCTTCCTCTAGATTCTAGAGTCTAGAACAAAAGCAGCCTGCCCTATAACAAGTGCTAGGGTGTGACAGCGGAAGATGGGTATCGCTCCCATGTCTTGCTTCTGCTTTTAAATTTCCATGATGCATCTGGATTAACTAAATATGGATTAACTCTTTAATATTTTTCACTAAACTATTGTTGTGAGTAATTTGTAATTTACTAAATGCTGATAAAGGGGTATTATGAGGGGGGAACAGAACCATTTCAATCTTTCACTCCCCCCCCATTGCTTGCTGAGCCATTTTTCCATTATTCCAATAGTGCTTTTTTTTTTTTAACTAGGACAATTTTATGAAATTCTATTAGGCATTCTAAAGCATTTTAAAGCAATGCTTTAAAGCAAACTTTGTACTGCAGAAATCTTACTCCAGTTTAAAACCTGTTATCCCACTACCCCATTATGAATGCAGAGAAGCCTTAGTGTACACAGAAAAAAGTACAATTTAATACTTCTGTATGTTCTAAAATATATTCCAGTGCTTGAAACAGTGCAAAGAAAATAAACGTTCATGACATGAAAGGTACTGGGATGGAGAACTGTTTTGATTATATTTGAGGGGGAGAACTACTTTGCTTTAGGAAAAGCTTAAGCACAAAAAATTTCAAATAAGATAGGGAATTGTGTGGCTTTTAATGTTCTATCAAGGCTGCCTTAAATGAATGATAGCCCTGCTTTCAGCAATATCTTAACAGTGTTTCTCAACCTCAGCAATTTTAAGATGTGTGGACTTCAACTCCCAGAATTCTCCAGCCAGCATGCTGGCTGAGGAATTCTGGGACTTGAAGTCCACAAATCGTAAAGTTGTTGAGGTTGAGAAACACTGTGCTAAAATAGATGATGCCAAAAACTGTTATTTTCTCACTGACAAAATAGCCTGACCAATATTCACACTTTTTAGAAAACTCTTTTAAGGTTGATGCATGTGCAAATGATAAATTTTAATTGGTTTTAACAAAATTTTAGTAGAAGCGGCCTATTCAAATATTTATTTTTAATCATTTTTAAATTTGTATGGTATTGTATTATTGTTTTTAAACAGGCTGTAAGCCGCCCTGAGTCCTCCGGGAGAAGGGCGGGGTATAAATGTAATAAAATAAAATAAAATAAAATAAATAAATAAATAAATAAATGATTATCAACGTGAGAACAGGATTTTATTTTTACTGCCACGTATCAAGACAAATCTGAGAGGCATGCAAGCAACGTGTGGACGTAGAGACCGAAATGAAGGACCCAATTTTAGAACCAAAACAAGCGCAAAGGGAGAGCGTCGCTCTGCAGCTCTTCTCCCCAACTTCTTCTCCAAAACTTCAGATGCGAGCTACGACTGGGAGAAATGCTTAGAGAGAGAAAAGAAAAGAAAAAAAAAACAGCACACAGCAAACCAGTTCAGCAGTTTCGGTATGGCAGTCCTGTACAAACACCTCGCAAGACAGCCTATCTTCCCCTCACCCCCAACCCGGGCCCTCGTGTGACTGTTGCTTCAGAGCAGGCCGACGGTGGAAGCCCGTTTGCTCCGAGAAGTTTGCTCCTAACAACCTCCACGTCATCCCAACGCGGTCTCTCCTTTTCCACACGTTTTCCAAACACGCGTATTTCTCCGAGCCCGCTACCGCGTCTGAACCGACCACCTACATAAGCGCACCCCTCCTCGCTCCTCAACCTCAAGGGGGAAACGGGCGGATCCTCGGCGCGGAAAGACGGAGAAGCGAAGAAAAACAGAACCCGGCGGACGGGTTGCTATAGAGATAGAAAGCCTCTAGAACAGGGGTAGGCAACCTTGGCTCTTTTATGACTCGTGGACTTCAACTCCCAGAATTCCTGAGCCAGCTAAGCTGGCTCAGGAATTCTGGGAGTTGAAGTCCACGAGTCATAAAAGAGCCAAGGTTGACTACCCCTGCTCTAGAAGTACCCACCTACCGAAAACCTTCTGTGAGCGGGGTGGGAGGCGGGGCAAGTGGAGCACCATTATTTATGACAAAGGCGGCGTCCGCGGCGGAACGAAGCCCGGGTTTTAGAACGGTCTTCTCTTGTCTCTTCTTTGGTGGGGGCGATTTGTTCTGTTCGGTTGAAGCTCCGAATTCGCATCGAGATGATTAAAGCTCACTAAGGAGATTGAGCTTTTTTTTTTTTTTTTTTTGGCTAATACCCGTTTTTTTTGTTAACGTCCTGACCTCGCTTCGAAAATAATAGAAAAAAGAACTATAAGTCTAATACATATAATGCATTTGGTAGCTGGCGTTTATATTTTATAATATTATATAATAGCTGGCACTAATATTTCAAATACTGTAATTATTCAGACATTAAAAAGACCGATTTTCTGTTGATTAGGGCTTATTTCGAATATTTTTCAGTCCTAGCAATGTCTTGAATTCTCTCTCTCCCTCTCTGTCTCACTCACGTCAAATTTTAGTCCTCACAAAAGGTTTCATTTGGTTTAATCAGCCAAATGTGCGTTANTCTGCATGCCCCACCCAAACTCTAGGAGTCATTAGCCCCATCACCTGGGAAGCAGGATATGATAATAGGATTAAACCACAGATATCAAGGCCTAGAAAAACACTCAGAAATATCCTCAAAGTTCATGCCACAGGAACAGGAAACTATTCCAAACAGGGCTAGAGGGGGTATAAAAACCTTCTACCCATGTGCTCAGTCTTTTTCTTCTCCTCTGCTCCTTCTTGCAAGGACCATCTTTCTGCTTCAATAAACTGTAACCTTCTTCCCAAAGCAGTTGCCATGTTTGCTTATTTATCCCCGGCTTGGATGAACCAGGATGAAGACTTACTTCTATCAAAAAGCATATTCTTAAAGAAGGCAGAGTTCTTTAGTCACAGTGGTCATAGAAGGCACCTGTATCTTCTGGGTAAAATGTTAGGTGTTGCTCTTGTATATGGATTCATGTAGGTGGAGGGAAGCACAGAGATGGGGTTTGTTCAAGAAAAGGGAAAGAGAGATGATACTGTAATATAAAACAGGTTCTCTTCAGGAGCATGCAGGATTGTGGGCGGAGGATCGGGGCCTCTCATGGGAATGAGCGGCCCAATCTTCCTTTTGCTAGTTGCTTTTCCTAGAAAGAGATGTTATTCCATCAAGTGCACCTATAGATGTTTATTGTTTAGTCAATTTATATTTTGCTGCCCCAAAATTACATATCAGGTTGCTTAGTTGTTATAGTTATGCTATTGGTTTTTTATATTTTTATTCTAATGTTTAATGCAAGCTGCTTGGAATAATTGGAGTTAAGTACCATGTAAATTGAATTTATAAAGTCATGCATAATCACACTGGCATCCACTCATGTTCCTTGAACTTGCTCTATTAATTAGCATCACATGAAGCAGATCTCTTTCAGTGTTTGTAGGCAATTGTAGGCAGAACTCTCTTCATCAATGAGGATAGTAATAAAGCATGATCCTGAATAACAGCAGACAGGTCCTGTTGGGTTCTTGAGCAGAGGAGACAGGTTCTGTTGGATCCAATATATTTTAAAGAAATTACTTCAGTCTAGGAAAATGTACTGTAAAACTAGTTTTTATGTAATGCTCCAATCAAATTGTACTTAATATTACATTTTCAAGTAATACTGATTAGTCATTTAATAAAACAACAGATTTTACCAGTTAGTAAGACAAATTTTGTCTTAATTTTGCTGAACCCTCAATACAGTAATTTTATATTAGGAAGTAACTCTTCCCATTTTTAATTAAGCAAAATAGAGCTAAAAGAAAAAAACTGGATTTTAATTGCCCTTGTCCCCCAAGAATATTTTTCCCTTTAAACATTTCTTTAGGAAGGGCTGAATTTTCTGTGCCGACAGATTATCGTGCACCTTAGGTTCTGAAATTACTTTATTAATTTTATAATTTATACGTAAATTACTTTATATAAGTTCATGGTGTGCTAAAGCCAAAAAATACACTGATAGCTTGATCAGTGTGGGAATGATTACAGCATTATAATCAAAGTGCTATATCTCTTCAAAGGATGGGATTCATCAGATGTGACTCAATGCTATCCTAGAAATTATAGTCTAGGACAGTGGTTCTCAACCTTTTTAATGCCGCGACCCCAACCGGTCGTAAGTCAAGGACTAAACCGGTCGTAAGTCGAGGACTAAACCGGTCGTAAGTCGAGGACTACCCAACCGGTCGTAAGTCGAGACTTTCCCTGCCCGGGAGCGCCGCGCATGCGTGGTTCCGCCCCGTGCCGGCCGAGGCGTAGCTGGCAAGCGGCAGAGACAGAGCAGGCTGACCACCAGCTGGCCCAGCCCAAGGGAGGTAAGGCACCCGCCGGAAAAGGGGAAAAAATGGCGGACAAAAAAATGGCGGACAGCCTTGCTTGGCGACCCCCGTGAAATGGTCGATCGACCCCAAATGGGGTCCCGACCCACAGGTTGAGAACCACTGGTCTAGGACAATACAAGGAGAATCATAACTAAAAGGCATTCACAAATTTAGCACCTATATTTTGTGTTCATAGACTAAGATGTCTTCAATTTGAGTTTGATTCATGTTGTTGCATCCATGGCTTCCTCAGAATATTATGCATTTTTCCAGGATGATTTTTTTGACTTCTCCCTCTAATCAAGAGCCCTGGAATTCTTAGGCACTTTTTTCTCTTTTCCAAATACTAACCAGGACCAGCCCCTCAGTTTCCAAGAAAAGCCACAATCATGTGCTGTCAGC